AGACTTCGAGGCCTTTCGTAAACAGTCGAGATTTTTCCGAGGGTCATCCGCTACCGTGCATTCGCTCGTGTCCGATTCGTGTCCTGAATTACTTGGTTGGTCTTACGCTGATTTTCAGTTTTTGATGGGAAGCTTTATGCCAATATCCTGAAACTTTGAGACTTCATGCAAAAGATGAGACAGTACATTGTGAGGAACAATTATTTTAAAGGCAAAGATCTTATTGAAGACTCTTGCTCATTTCAAAAACTCGAAAAATGGAGCAGAAAAGTTCATAACTTACGTGGATTTTTACTTGAGTTTAAGCTTATAAGACTTAAATTTATGCCCATATGCAGTTAAAGCAAGCTTTCTTGAATGAGGGACTAGTTGAAACTAGAGATCTTTTCCTGATACTTTGAGAGGTATGTCAAGCACTTTAGTTTCTATGAAATCTATCGGCTTTTTTCTTGCAAACCACCGGCAGTTTTGAGAACTTTCCATTACATTTTATGAAACCTTTACGTTTCACCGCTTTATTTCGGATTATTTAGATAATGAATTTTGTTATGTAGAGATTTTTGATGTTTGAAAACCCGAAAATGCTTCGTTCGGTTGAATTGAGTCGTTTCAACTCAATCTAACTTAACCATTTTTTTGCGATGCGGTTTCAAAGATCATTTTTAGACTGAGTTACTAGTTTCAAAGCAAGATAATTAAGATGTATGAATAATAAACTTGTTCAAAATATGTCTATTTCTTGTACTTAGAGATAATTAAGCTTTGTTTTTGTTATAAAGTTTTTCATTGTTTTCTATCAAAATGGAAAGTCAATTAAATATAGCTAATATAGTCGTTTGAAACTAGAAAACCTCGAAAACTTTTCATATTGTTTGTGTTTTTGTTAATTTTGTTTCTTGTCTGTATGTTTCCTTTCCTTTTTTTAAAGAAAATTGAATTTTAAAGCTTTATCCTTGACATTTTTTTTCGCCTCGAGAAACTCACGATTATTTACGATCGTTTACGATGGGTCGCGAAGTCTTCACGAATGAAAAAAGGTAGGGAGGGGTGGACACTATACCTGGKGCACACATCGATCCATCACGTGACCAGWGTTTCATACCTTGTCACAGACTAGTTTGTATCCCGCGAGGCGCGCGATAGTGACGTAATACCACAGGTAACCCACAACTCACGCCGATTCGATAACATAATATAAAAGCGTGCGCATTCATTCTTTTCTTTCTCTCAAGCAATAGTTGGGTAGCCTATGGTTGATGCGCGCTCTTTACGTAATCTAGCCCTTTTGTTACCACCGTCGTGTCGTCTCCGAGCGTGCATCTATTGTTTGACCAGCTGACGGGACGCGCTCATTGAACAGCGGATTTYATGCACGTGCGCATATTCAGTCGGCATCGTCTGGTACTGGACGCGTCATATAGCGTCATTTCAAGGCGTCATAATATAGCGTCATCATTCTGAAGGACATAACGAAACGGACACGTCATCGAGTGGCGTCATCGAACAGTGTCATCCTTAAGTGTGCAGTATTTACCATCGTCATCTTGAGCAGCATATCAGATCAATCCAAACACGTGATCTAAATAGCGTCATCTTTTGGTGTCGCGTCATCCAGTAACGTTACTAAACTTTCACGTGTGTGCAATATTCTGATCTCTGCCTTCCCGCCAAATATGGCTAACAGCTTCGAAGATGATTACGAAAAGTTGAGTTACCCACAAAGGTGTATTTTTTCAAAGAKGGAATGYAGTGAAAAACAGTGTGATTTCTTGTACAAACAGGACCTGGATTCTTGGATAAAACTACAGAAGGAAACAAGGGAATTTGATCGTAWAAAGCTCGAGCAAGTACAGTTGATYGCTCGTGAACGACGGCATGATGGAGAATMWGTAGATGCATTTGTATTCGAAAACTCCTTCGTAAAATGGACAAGCAGCAAACTTCGYCCATTTCAAAGAATTGCATTATTTAACGTTGTAAATGAAGAGAATACCCTTACGTCATTTCTGTATACTCGTAGCATGTCGACTCAATGGTTTACCCGCATCGAAGACCTCACCACTGATCCACCAACWATAAAATGGAGGAAGCCTGTTGTGTACGACTTAGTTTGGGGAAGCATGAGTAACTACAGATTCCTTGCGTATTCTTGGGACGGCCATATATTCTTGATTGACTGGTTGACGAAGGGAGGTAGGATCGTCGGACAGTGGCCTGATACTGAGAGAGTATTTGCAATAGATGAACAGTATCCCAAAGAACGAAGCCTCTTCATTATAGCAGCAATCTCACCAGACGGCAACACAATTGCTGCYAATTCAGTTTCTTCCGAAAACGGCGATAARTATTATATACTGAGACTGTTAAATATCAACACAAGCCAATGGTCATCAAGAAAAATTCCCGTAGAACAACTTCGAACAGTTAAATTCATTTACAAAACGGATCCAGTGAAACCAGGTGTCATATCCATGACGTTTCACCCAATTCATCCCAACCTAGTGTACTTGATGGTCAGAGATATATCGGAAGATGATGTAGGAGATAGCTGGGGTATTTGCCTTTATGACATSCAAGGAGAAGGRAAGGTTATAGCAAAGAGAGGAAGAATCTACATGGCAGCTAGTATCAACGAATACTTTGGAGAAAATCACTACGATATAAACACGCTTGACAGCCCAGTCTTCCTCCGCCATGGTAGCGTYATCGTCTGCTTCCATGTTTGTAGTGTGCAGATTGGAGCGTTTTCATGTGATTGCGTTGTATTACTCGATGCTTTCAACTTTGATATTTTGGCTTCTGTAAAGATCCATCGTGACGGTAATTTAATGTACCATTTTGCAGTTTCTAGTATAACGAAAGAAAAATCGCCATATTCAAAAGCGAAACTGAAGAAGTTGAAGTTTACAAAATACCAGAYAAAGACCTCTCCCTAAAGAATTTAAGCAGACAGATCATTCTACAATGTGTGGGCTACGAAGGAGTTGAGAAGTTAACTATGTTGCCTTCAATAGTTAGAGAATATTTGAAGTGGTAGTGCATGCCATATGATTGAACAGTCCGCCATGACAGTGGATAATAGAAATCATATTTCATTGATTATTATATAATTTGATATACGTACTAAATGCAAAAATAATCATTTGTTGTTTAACTGAATATGGAGTTGTATCACTTTAGAACAATAATTTTGTAAATTTTTCATTTCTAGTAATCATGATGTCACTTATTCATATACAAATGTTTACTTAATATCTGTAAATTTGTTGACACATATACTTAGGTGTGCTTCATCTTCTTATCTTTTTTTCGCTGTGCAATAATCTTTTTCATTGTTTGTCACAGCTCATTTTGATATTTCTTTAGTTTCGAGATTTTAAGATTTGGAAATAAAAATACATCGTGTATAATAATATAAGCAAAATCTTATCTTTATTGTCTTATGATATCTTATTATACTCTATACCTTAAAGGCCCAGTTTGCACCATTATGCTTTGCGCGCCTCTGTTATTGTTATGATTTACACTAAAATACTTCTAGTATCCAAATATCACCATGAAATGAATTTCAGGTGGTTGAAAACTCTTATATTTATAGCGTTTAAAGTGCTTGGAAAATTGAGATGCTCAAAGATTCGAAACGCACAGTACAAATTAAAGACTTTCGGTAAACTGAAAATGGCCGACTCCCGGTCCTCGCGGCCCCCAAAGCATAATGGTGCACACTGGGTCTTTAAAACTGACGGATAGAAAGTGATTGCGAGTGGATATTTGAAGTTACGTCATTTATCTAATTAAACACCGAAYCGCATTTCATGCTGGTGGAGCACAGGCTTTTTAATATATGCAGACTATATATCTTCAACACTTCTAAAAGTTAAATAGTTCATATCTATTGTTTGGGGAATTTACTTTGTATATTTTTTGTGAATGATCAATTTCTTTTCCCGTCGCGTGAATCTGTTTTGCCTTTCTTACAAATTGTTGATTAGTTATGCATAGTAAAAAGGATGATTTTTGCGCGCACGTGATAAAGTTGGCGCTTGTGATCCAGATTGCTCCCTCGAGGTTTTGTATATTGTTTGCCTAGCAAACCTCGTGTCTTCAAGACGATGCCGCTGAGTATGATGATTGTGTACTCCTTTATGATTCGTTTGAGCTCAGCGMCATTTAATTTGTTGGATCCAAAATTATGTCTAATTTACCGTTATATAATCTATGTTACAAGAAGTCAAAAAAGGAGCAGCGAAATTCAGAAAAACATCTAGTATCGAGGTAATTATAACCAACTTCTGAAAACGAAGACTTTTTTTATTATAGGCGTTTTTATAGGTCACATAGTATTAAATCCGCCATAATGGATGGCAAAAGAATGTAAACACCTCAAAAACAAAAGTCAAACTTGAGCTATCTTTATTTTAAACACCCGAGTAGCATTTTGCTATCCAGTATGGCGGATTTTAATTGTACCATGCATGCATAGTTAATAGTTAACTATGTACCATGTGACCATTTCATGCAAAATGCCTATTGTTAACTGCATTG